GGGGGGGATACCCTCAGTGAGATGGATTGACACAGTGTCTACAACGATGGGCTCAGGTATAACAAGGATTGTGAGGCTGGCGCGGGACCGGGCAGTGTTTCGTTCTGTTGTACATAGGGTCTCTATGGGTTGGAGCTGACTCGACAGCACCTAACCACAACAACAATGATACAGAGTTGTACAGGTATCATGTGTCTGTTTATATCGGTGGGATGGTGTTTGTGGGTCATGCAAACCGTTAACAAGCTCATTTATGAAGCACAATATTAGAAGTCCGAGTCCACTCAGAGGCACCTCAGAAGAAAGGAGTGGCTATCTCCTTCCAGTAGATGAACCACAGGAGGCCCACCTTCTCCTGGGCACCATGTACCCAGACGAAGCTCAGAAGGCGGGAAGAAGGGTGAATGGCATTGGGGCCCCAGGGACGAAGTGGGAACCGAGCTGTGAAGTTGAGGGGATAGAAGTCATGTCATGAAAGAAAAGGTGTATGGATTGTTGGATGGGAAACTGATTCGCTCCATCAAGTTTCACCCAAACTGCAATAAAACATTTACAGAGTAGCCATTGAAAACCCATGGGGAGCAGTTCTTCTCTGACACACATGGGGTCTCCAGGGGTCAGAGTTGACTGGAGAGGAACTGCCTTAAAAAGAGCCAAGGCAAAGACACAAAAGCTTGGAGGACATGCTGGGCCTAATGCTCCTCGCTCAGCACCTGCAGAGACCCGGCCTGCTGGGCTGGGCTGGCCACTCGCCGCTCGGCCTGCTGGGCCTGGCTGCTCCCTGCTCAGCCGGCTGGGCAGGCTGCTCCCAGCTCTGCTCAGGGTGTGTCCCCCCGTGGGGTATCCATCCGACCAAATGCCCGGGCTGCTCCGCGGTCTCTGTGCGCCCACTCTGGCAGGCCCGTGTTATTGGGCTTCCCTGCTTGGTCTTCCTGCTCGGTCTTCCCCAGCCCACTGCTTCCTTCTCTTTCATTCCCAGACAGGATGTGTCTCCCTTTACGACTGTGTTTTCAAGAGGCGCCTGGATTATGACCAGAAGTCGCACCGAGATGACAGAGAGCATGCGAAAAGCATGGGGCTGCACGTGCAGGAGGAGGTAAGGGAGGCAGGCCGCGCGGTGCTAGCAGGCCACCAAGAAGGGCCTGACCTATGGTCCTCGCCACATGCTTCTGGTGTCCAGCCTCCGGCAGCTCCCAAGACCTGGAGGAAACCGGCGCTCTCGCCATCTGTTCTCCACACTGCTCCGTGCTTATTTGCATGGTGCACGTTGGTTGTACCGAATTTAGCGCTTAGTGATGGTAAAACAAGGCATTCCAGGGTGCACATGGTTAAGGGATGAGCTGTGAGCTGAAAGGCTGGCGTTCAAACTCACCCCAGGGCGCCTCAGAAGGCCTGGCGCCCTGCTCCACAGGGTCGCAGCTTTGAAAACCCTGAAGAGCAAAGCTCGCCTCTGCACACGGGTGGCCGTGGGTCGGAATCAATGGCAGGTGTGGTTTTTTAGCATTGTGACTGTTTTTGTTGTTCGGTGCCATTGAATCGATCACAACTCATATCCTCCCCCCCGTCCCCACGTCACATAGCAGAACCGCCCCCAGGGTTTTCTAGGCCGTAATGTTCACAGAAGCAGGTCGCTAGTCTTTTCTCCAGGGCTGATGGGTGGTTTGAACTGCCAGCCTGTCAGCGTGCAGCCAAGCCCTTAACCGCTGCACTACCAGGGCTCCCTGTGAGAGCATGACGTATGTCCACTTACTCAACAGATGCTTTGAGCACCTCTGTGGGGTATGGGGCATGAATGGGAGTGAGGCCACGTCTCTGGCTTCCCAGAACGTCTGTTCCCATGGGGCTGAGAAATGACAGGCACATACACCATGAGCTTAAGCCCAGGCCGTGCAATTGACTGGACATGGCCAGGGAAGCCCTTTAACGGGTCAGGGCTGAGCAGGCCTGGGAGTGCTGCAGCTGTGTGGAGAGGGGGTCAGGGGAGACTGGACAGCTGTGGAGAGGGGGCCGCAGTAGAGGACGAGCAGACAGGCCCCGTCTGGAAGGCACCTTTTGTGTTTGGGGAGAGAGAGGACCAAGCTGACAGAAAGGCGGGAGGAGGTGGGCACGAGGTGGGGGGGACATGGGTCCCAAATCCGAACCCATCGCAGGACCTTCGCCTCGTCCTCAGAACGACCTGCTGGCAGTGGGGGCACCAAGCAGAGAGAGGGTCCCGGGGTGGTGTCAACAGGAACATGCCCCCTGCTGACCAACAGCTTGGAGGGTCGAGGCCACCCAGAAGTGACCTGACAGAAAGGCCTGGTAACCCACAAGCGTCAGCCCCTGCAAAGCTTGTGGAAGAAGGTGTGTTAGACACACGTGGGTCATGCAGGCCAGCGCCTACTCCACGGCTTTGGCCTTTTTGGAACAGAGGCCAGGGTCTGGCGTTGAAGTGTGAGGAGACCGGGGTGGCCAGCTGGAGTGTGCTCTGGTGCAGGCACCCAGGTGGTTCCCCTTGGGGGCTGCGGGGTGGACCGTGTGTGACGCACCCTGTGGTGTCCCCCCAGGAGCGGGAGCGGCCCGTTGGGGTGCTGACCTCCTCCATGTACGGGAGGCGCATCCACCTGCCGGTAGAGCCGCTGATCAGGGATCACGGGCGCGCCAACCACGTGCAGGCCGACTTCTACCGGAAGAATGAAATCCCCTGCATCAAGGCCCCTGGCTTCGGCCACATCTCTCCAGCCTGAAGCCCCCAGACCACTGGCCCATCGGGGAACCCCCACAAACGAGGCTCTCAGGGACATGCACCTGCTCCGTTTGGGGGAGGGCACATGTGGCCGGCATCTGTGCAGCCGCTAGGAACGTGCGCTCAGGCTCCCGGGCCAGGGGACAGTGTGTGATGTTACCGCCTGAAATGAAGCTTCACTGTGAGCACCGCAATAAAAAGTGCAGATCCTCCCCACTGTGCAGGTACCTGTGCTCTGGTTCCCTGGAGCTGTTCTTGGGGGAGGGACGGCACAGAGGGCCGAGCTGGGACTGCTGCGTCTCAGGCATGGTGAGCCTGGTGGCACTGCTAGCCCTTGACATGTCTTCCTCTCTCCAAGAGGAACTGCCAGCTAGAGGTACAGGCTTTGGCACATTTGCTCTAGATGTTGGCTTTTTCCCCAGAGGTCAGAGCCACAAAGAACTGAATTTTGCACCATGGAGGGCAGAAGCCTTGGCAGGGATGCGTGCTTCGGGGGCCAGCAGCACCTCCCTAGTCCCTCCTCAAGGGAGAGCCGCCAAGGCCCAAGGGCACGTGGCAGAGTCAGCACGGGAGTCAGTGGGCTGCTGGGGTGTAGCCAGATTTCCGGAACTGGGCTGTCCACTCCCAGAGCCCCACAGTTGGACTGCGACTGGGGCCCGGTGCACTCTGGAAGCAGCTGCTTTCAACCTCAGCTGGAAATGTTTCCTTTGCAATAATTTGAAGATCATCCAAGGGTGAAGAGTTCAGCTATAGTTTTAATGAACTGATCCCTTGCAAGAAATAATCCCTCTTCCTTTTATGATGTGCCATTGAATTTCCCAGTTTAGCAGTTGGCGGCAGGTGAGCTGATTAATTTCGTGCTGGTTGCAGCCATCCTGGTTTTATTGCACTCAGCCTGCAGGATTCTCAGAGGGCGCTAGGCACCGAACTGCTGGTGGCTTCAAGGCTGGGTGACTCCTAAATATTCCTTCTTTTGAAAATGGCTTTTCACTGTGGGTGCCTTTAACTGTTTCAAACATAACAACAGATCACTTGAAATGCCTTTGGGTGCTTCAAACTGTATTTATAATGGAGTGGAAATAATATGAAGTTTGGGTTATAGGAATTTTAATAAATTTCTTTAGTGTTGATTAGCAAGAAAGACAAGGTATTTGTAAGACATGCCTTGATCTGAAAATCACTGCAATAAATTCACATCCAGCCTGAAGTGCTCAGGAGAAAGCTGTGCCAATCTACTTCTGGAAAAGCAGCCATCGCAAACCTGTGGGACACGTTCTACTCCGACACATACAAGGTAACTGAGAGTCAGGCTCCACTCGGTGCTTTGGCATTGAGAGTTTTACATCTTTTAGGATCAGAATGTGGATGCCCACTGACGTCACCTTTTCAAAGGGAAACAGCCTAAAAGAATGCTTGGTTTGCCAGATTCCCACCCCAGTCAGTGAGGTTCCTGACCATCAGATGCATCTAGAACAGAGGAGATAGTGGTCCCCCTTTTAGGAAGGCCCACAAAGTGGGGAAGAACAGCAGGACTCCGAACAAAGCCCAGTGTTTCCAAATGGGTCCATTCAAACACTGCAGGGGTCCACACTCAAAGCCTTTGTGGTTAGAGAAGACTTCCTATAAGATGTCAAGGTTACGGGGAGCTTTGAGGACCTCTGGTGGCACAGCTGTTAAGGCATTCAGATGCCAAGCAAAAGGTCAGCGGTTTGAACCCACCAGCCTCTCGGGGAGAAAGATGAGGCAGTTGGCTTCTGTAAAGATTGACAGCCTGGCAGTTCTTCTCTGTGTGCTGTGAAGTCAGAATCAACTTATGGCAGTGGGTGTGGAAATGTTTACTATGCAGATAATTTTGGTTTGAGTTGTGCCTTGGAGATTCTGTAGGCAGTTCCACTCTGTCCTCTTGGGGTACTGTGGGTTGGAATCGACTAAAAGCAGTGTTTTGGTTCTTTTTAACCAGTGTCCCAAGGGCAGCGGCCGAATTCCCACTCTCCCCATGGGAGACCCAGTTCGATTTCCAGCCAGTGCCCCTCATGCGCAGCTCCCATGTGTGTGCAGTGGGGGCCTGTGTGTGGCTGGGATGTGGAAGAGGTTTCAGTGGAGCTTCTAGACTGAGACATACTAGGAGAGCAGGCCTGGAGAGTGAATTCTGAGAACTCCATGGCTGACAAAGGTCAGACCCCATGGCCCATGGATGCCAGGTTGGGGCCACCTTGACGGGCAGCGCCTCCAGCGTCACAGGGACCGTGGCAGTGAATTGCAGAGCTTCCCGGAGGGTAGGGAGTTTGGCCATTGTGAGCGGCTCCTCAGAGGGAACAGGTGTTTCTGTGCTAGTCTAGTCACCACTCCTCAGCTGTGATCCCTCTCACCATCTCTGAGCCACAGTTTCCTCATTTGTTAAAGGCATGGCTGGCCTGGGCCCCAGGCTCTGGCTGGTGGTCTCCAGCTTGCCCATGCATCAGAATCACCCAGAGGGATTATGCTCCCATACTCCCTTAATTGGCAGGCCCAGGGTGGGCTGAGGACTGGCAGCTCTCACAGGCTCCTGGGTGATGAAAGGCCCTGCGTGCACCGAGCTTTGGAGGCCAACTCTGATGGTGAGTAGGACTTTGCTCTTAAAAGTCTACTGCTTAGTACAGCTGGCAGGACAGCTTTGGGAAGTCAGAGTGTTTCAGAGTCATTTTCACTACAGCACCTCCCATGGGGTGGACTATGTATAGGAGAACTTGGGGACTCACCTTGGTGGCTACCAAGGGCAGGTGCCCTGCGGCAGTGCCAGGATGGGCACTGCAGTGTGTAAGGAGGAAAAGTCCACCAGATGCACCTGCTGATCTCATCACAGATGGAAATGCAGCATTGTGAGGGCGCAGAGACCTAGCGTCTGTTCCCGCTGTTGACCAGCTGAAGAGAGAGGCCTTTGTCACGGGTGTTGTGCTCCATCACACTGTAGAGATTACGGTGCATTAAGACCAATGGTGAGTTGCACAATAGTAGAAAAAAGCACAAAAACGTTCCTAACTGAGGCAGAAAATAGAACAAATCACAATCAATTCAGACCCTAGTGCTGCAGGACAGTTACTGTGGTTGTTGTTGTTATTTGCCATCAAGTTTGACATGACTCATAGTGACCCTTCCTTGGGCTTCCAAGAAAGTATCGCTATGGAAGTAGATTGCTCAACCTTCCTTCCAAGGAGTGGCTGGTGGGTTTGAATTGCCAGCCTTCTGCTTAGCAGTCAAGTGCCTTAAGGCACTAGGCCACCAGAGCTTCCCTTGTGCTGCAGGACAGTTACTAGTTTCAATAAATGATGTTAAAACTGAGTGTGAGACAGAGCACGAGCAGGGCAGCTGGCCCACAGTGTGGACAGGCTAGCAGGAATGTTGTGTTACTCATATGGTCACCGTCAATCAGTGTAGATAACTACCACAACTTACCAGGCTCCCTCACAAACCTCCACCAGCACCACCACCATCACCACCACTATCCCCTCTACCACCACCACCCATCACCTCCACCACCTCCACTTCTACCACAGTCACCACCATCACCACTACCACCGTCACCTCTATCACTATCACCACCACCACGACCACCACCATGACTACTACTACAACCACCTCCATCTCTATCACAATCACCACCACCACCACTACCACCACCACCTCCGTCACCACTTCCACCACCTCCACCACCACCACCACCACCTCCATCTCTATCACCATCATCACTACCACCACCACCACCCCTCTACCACCACCACCCCCTCCACCACCACCATCCCCTCCACCACCACCGTCCCCTTCACCACCACCATCCATCATCTCTACCACCTCCATTTCTACCACCATCATCTTCACCACCACCTCCACCTCCATCACCACCACCACCACCACCACCACCACCATCACCTCCATCACTCCCACCACCATGTCCACCTCTATCACCATCACCACCACCACGACCACCTCCATCACCACCACCTCAACCACCACCATCACCACCACCTCAACCACCACCACTGTTACCACCACTATGACCTCCACCAGAACTGCAGTTGATGACCTGCCACCATTTCTGACTCATGGTGACCCCAGCAGTGTCAGAGACTGCTCTGCGAGGTTTCAGTGGCTGATTTTTCTGAAATATTCTGCCCGGCCTTTCTTGCTAAGTGCCTCTGGGTGGACTTGAACCACCAACCTTTTGGTTAGCAATCAAGCACATTCATTGTTTGCACCAACCAGGAGTCCTCAAAAACCTCACTCATTTAATCATGACTCAGTCCCATAAGCTAAGGAGCAACTATCCACATTTTACCAAGGAGGAAAACACTACCACAAGAAATTAAGAGACATGTTTAATGTCACACAACTGGTAAGAAACTGAATCAGAAACAAAACTAAAGGCTTTGCCTTCTAGCCCAAGTTCCCACCACAGGGTGCTGCATAACAAGTCACTTGCTCATCCGTCAAGAGCTCCACCAGTTATGAGGTGGAGATCAAAATATTTCCAGAGTTCCACATTCTCCAAGCTGCTCATGGTAGTTAAGGTTGTTGTCAACTTGGCTGGGCCTGGTTGAGTGCCTGGGCAGCTGGATGTAGTTATTCCCCATGGTGAGATTGGCAATCAATTCCATGGTGGAATCTACTGGAGCCGCGGAGTAGCTGTTTGAGAGATGTAGGCTGCTTTCCAGTAGATAAAAGCAGCAGCTTTGAGGAAGGTCTCCAGCTTATGGCATACTTGAACTCTGCATGTAGGCAAGTCGTTGTTCAACAGCCTGCCATGCCCTGCCAATCTTGGGACTTCTTCTGGGCTTGAATTAGTGGCCTGCCCTGTTGTTTGGTGATATCAGGAGTGTGTCTTTTCACTTGTTGATCTTGGGTTTGTCAGCCTCCACAGCCAGCTGCTGCCTGAGTGAAGAGACACCTCTAGCTCAAGTGGACTGGGAGCAGGAGGCAGAGGTGAAGCCCAAGGTTAAGGGTTTTTCCCCCAGCCCCTAGAGCCTG